CTCTGGTTTAAAGTTTTGACTGAAGATTGATTAAAAATGGAATTGTCAACTAAAACGATAAATGGGGAAGGAATTTAAACAGGAAATGATAATTTGCTTCATGGGTCATGTGCTGACTATGCAGTATGCACCCTGATAGCGTTCACGTGCACCCTCTCAGTTTCTCATTTGATCTCATGCAGATGCAGCAGAGGTGCCGGCCAGAGTAACAGGTCACTGCATTAGAAGCAAAAACATCACAACACTTCCTATGTGAATGCATCCAGCTGATGACAACTAGAATGAGGATATTTGGTAAACCCATCCTAACAATTGAGGAACTCATCAATAGTAAACTCGACCACATTATCAAATCCGACCCGCGGGCGGAAAAATCGTATAGCACTCGGGCCCGATGGGCCCTCCGTGCTATACGAAAATATGTCCTCCTCGGGCTAGCGCCCTCGGGGACATATGAAATATTGCATGCGCGTGCGCGTGCAATATTTTGTTCCGCCCGCGAGTCTCCGGTGATATGTATATATATATCGCCGGACGGTATAGGGGGCTCCCGCTATATCAGCGGGCTGTAACAGCGGGCCGGGATATATCAGGTCTTCTAACTCGCGGGCTGCGAGGGCCTGCTGGCGCAAATATAGCCCGCTGGTGGATATAGTAGTATTAGTGACATTCGAAAACCACGATCTTTAGTTGTCGAACTTTAGTACGTAAATCGTCCGATAGTTATTGAGAAGAGGAGCAATTGGTTTACAATAGCTCAAAGCTAGTGCTATCCCGATAAGCCCGAAGTGATTCGACTTCGAATGAAATTTCTACTGGAAATCAATTCATCACGACCGTGAATCAAGATAGGATTTCTATCGTGGGAATAGCTACAAAAGTACTAAGGTATGGAACTATGATCATTATGAGAAACCCCGGCACCGGTCATATCCGGCGGGTTTTAAAGTTATGAGCCGACTAGCTCCTAGACAGCTATTGACAGCCTGATAGGGCGGCTCACTCAAATTTGAATTGTGATACGTCAAAATTCCACGTTAAATTGGGGTTTTAATGTAGTAACCAGATTCATTATAAATAACATGTATGTCATGATAATAAATATGGTCATTAGTTGGTTAGGTTATCGTGTAAAAAATATGCAATAAATTGTTGGTATGGTGACCAGCCTCACGGAGCTAGCTCTATGAGGCTGGTCAACAAACCAGCAGGACAATAAGAAAATGTAAAACATGCCCCGTCAATAAGTCTCAGCGAACCTTAACATTAGTTGAAATATTCTCCTTAGCATCGCGAGCCTATTGTTAACAAAGAAGCTTAAAATTGTGTGTAACAGAATAACTTGATAAACGTGTGTATAAAAGTATAAATGCTTCACACCATTTTATATTTGCCGTACGGATGCCAATTATGGATCGCTTCCCTCTGGTTTAAAGTTTTGACTGAAGATTGATTAAAAATGGAATTGTCAACTAAAACGATAAATGGGGAAGGAATTTAAACAGGAAATGATAATTTGCTTCATGGGTCATGTGCTGACTATGCACCCTGATAGCGTTCACGTGCACCCTCTCAGTTTCTCATTTGATCTCATGCAGATGCAGCAGAGGTGCCGGCCAGAGTAACAGGTCACTGCATTAGAAGCAAAAACATCACAACACTTCCTATGTGAATGCATCCAGCTGATGACAACTAGAATGAGGATATTTGGTAAACCTATCCTAACAATTGAGGAACTCATCAATAGTAAACTCGACCACATTATCAAATTCGTGGAACAGTCAACAAGGTTTGACAGAGACGATCCATTTGGATAAGCATCTAGGACATACACCAAGGTTCATAAACAATCATACACTAGACCCACACAGGACTATCTCAGATAGTGACAAATATTCAGGTGTGGACCATGCTCGGAAGTCCCTCGCCTGCCCGCCAAAGAAGAACATCTGAAGTTGGTTTGCTCTGAGCAAGGTAGTAACAGCTTCGAGACTCAAGAGGTCTGTTGCGTTGATATCTATTATTCTATGTTTTTGTATATACTTAGGGAGTCCTGGAGTGTGGCTAGCAGGAGTCACACTCTGTGGGCACGGCGAGAAAGCCTCCCTCTTCACTAGGAGGCCAGAAACCGTTGACCAAAACAGAGAGAGAGAGAATTTGCTTCATGGGTCATGTGCTGACTATGCACCCTGATAGGGTTCACGTGCACCCTCTCAGTTTCTCATTTGATCTCGTGCAGATGCAGCAGAGGTGCCGGCCAGAGTAACAGGTCACTGCATTAGAAAAGTGATTATTGAACGTATGATAGAGTACAACCGATACTACAGCGGTGGAATGTGGATTTAAATGTCACCTGGTCAAACCCGGGGTGGACTATTTTCCAGATCCTGGTGGAACCTAAGCGATCCATGATATCACGACAGGCCCTATGGGATCAGTCAAAACCACATGCCCAATAACCAGGCATCATCAACAATCCTGTTGAATCTAGTAGTCCTAGTTCCCTAACATAGCAGTAATAGGATCCAGAAGTTAACAAGTGTACGAGATATTGTTCTCTATCACTGTACGAGATATTGTTCTCTATCACCGTGCGAGATATTGTTCTCTATCACTGTACGAGATATTGTTCTTTATCACTGTACGAGATATTGTTCTCTATCACCGTGCGAGATATTGTTCTCTATCACTGTACGAGATATTGTTCTCTATCACCGTACGAGATATTGTTCTCTATCACTGTACGAGATATTGTTCTCTATCACTGTACGAGATATTGTTCTCTATCACTGTACGAGATATTGTTCTCTATCACTGTATGAGATATTGTTCTCTATCACTGTACGAGATATTGTTCTCTATCACTGTACGAGATATTTTCCTCTATCACTGTTTACTTAGGGTCCTGTTCGCGGCAATCCCTGTACGAGATATTGTTGATTGTTCTCTATCACTGTACGACATATTGTTCTCTATCACTGTACGAGATATTTTTCTCTATCACTGTTTACTTAGGGTCCTGGCTGCATGGTAAATATATGCGCCTCACCACTCACCAGTATACCATACTCCAAGTCCACAGGGCAGCTGGTATATCAAAACAAATCGAGGTCGTATATAGTCCAGTCATTTATGGACATTTATGGAAATTAACATAGAACGGGAGGCAAAAATGGCTGATTAAACCAATTTTGTGCAAATTTTTTCTGTTTTTTCTCCAAATAACTCGAAAAGTAAGCATTTTAGGGTACATTTTGCTTCATAAGTTTTATATAAACATGGCCGTTCTGCACAATTTGCACTCATTAAAAAATCTCTAGGGCCTTCATAGCCCAATTTACCAGATACCCATATTTTTGCATGATTTATGGAACCGAAAATCAGCTTTTCGCCAATAACTGAAAAAGTAAGCACTTTAATGTATATGTTTCTTTGTAAGTCATATATAAATATGCCAATTGCGGTTCTTTTGCACTCTATCCGAAAACTCTATCACGATCCTATCAAAAGTTAGTAAAATAGGCTCAGCGCCACGCCCAAAATGGTTTTTGGCGAATTTCTCGAAAAGTAAGGATTTTAGGCCATGTGTTGATCAATAACTCCTAAATAAACATGCATATGCGGCTTCGTTTAAGCATATTTTGAAGTCTCTACGACCTTCAGAAGCAAAGGGTCAGTTACGTTATTAGGTCAATATGGGCGTGGCCCTCCTGGGTTTTCCCCACGGTAAAAAAAATGTCTCCAACCGAAAATCGTTTATATATATCTTTCAAAAAGTCTGTGCAAAGTTTCGTGAGTATCTGAAGATTTGCAGGCAGCTGTCCTTAAATGACTGGACTAATACTGGAATCTTAACAAATTCAAATCATGTTATACATTGCACAAAATCAAATCAAGCCAGATGAGGCATGTTGGCCCAGTTTTTTATTTTAGTAAAGTAAAGTAAAGTAAAGTAAAGTAAAGTAAAGTAAAGTAAAGTAAAGTAAAGTAAAGTAAAGTAAAGTAAAGTAAAGTAAAGTAAAGTAAAGTAAAGTAAAGTAAAGTAAAGTAAAGTAAAGTAAAGTAAAGTAAAGTAAAGTAAAGTAAAGTAAAATAAAGTAAAGTAAAGTAAAGTAAAGTAAAGTAAAGTAAAGTAAAGTAAAGTAAAGTAAAGTAAAGTAAAGTAAAGTAAAGTAAAGTAAAGTAAAGTAAAGTAAAGTAAAGTAAAGTAAAGTAAAGTAAAGTAAAGTAAAGTAAAGTAAAGTAAAGTAAAGTAAAGTAAAGTAAAGTAAAGTAAAGTAAAGTAAAGTAAAGTAAAGTAAAGTAAAGTAAAGTAAAGTAAAGTAAAGTAAAGTAAAGTAAAGTAAAGTAAAGTAAAGTAAAGTAAAGTAAAGTAAAGTAAAGTAAAGTAAAGTAAAGTAAAGTAAAGTAAAGTAAAGTAAAGTAAAGTAAAGTAAAGTAAAGTAAAGTAAAGTAAAGTAAAGTAAAGTAAAGTAAAGTAAAGTAAAGTAAAGTACGGACATATTCACGCCCACCAACCCTGATCTCCAAAATCCCACCTTTTCACTAATGTCCATAATGTTTTCCAACCATTTTTACTTGGTGGGTAGACAAAATAAACGAATGGATCAAAACAATGATATTTTATCATTGAAACGAATCGTCAAACAATGAGAGATGATCAAATATACAGAAAAGGATATTGTTCAATTCGTTAAAGGGTAATATACTCGCGACCTACTGGGCAGTCATACTGTAACTAAAAGCAATGGCCTATTAACGATATCTCGAAAAATGGACGTAAAACATCACTATTGAAAACGATAGTTACTAAAAACCTACAACACGATAAATCCCTGTGTCATAATGTCCTTGACTAAAACATTTATAGATTTCTATTCTGATTTCTGGTGGGGAGGTGAAGCATATTTTGGGCACGTGACAGTGATTCGATTGTTCAACAGTAGAAGCTTATTGGTTGATTTCAAAATTTCTGTAACATTCCAATCGATATGCCTCGCCTCCCAACCAGAATCCACATTTATACACCAACTTAAGTCTGCTCAAAGAAAAATGGGTTGTTAGAATTATTACATCGAAACACAATAATTCATAGAGCATCAAAATATTTAAATACAGAGGAGGCAGTCACTTTTACAGTTCATGGGTACCAAAATCATCATTTAAGTCACCATCTTTGTGATCATGTGGTGGCTTGAAAGGAAGGAGTGTCCTTTGAATAGCTTTGAGAGTTCGAGAGTCCATGGTGTAATGATATCCTGAAAATGGAAACGGTTATTTAAATCACTGAACTGTTGAGTGTTGATGATAGTGTTCATAAATATAAATATCAATATTGTGCATATTTATTTTTATTTCATTCATTGATATATTATTATATACCTTATCGGACCTTATTTGGACGGACATTACTTGAACGCTGGAGGCCCTAGCGTTCATCTTAATGTCCGTTCAAATAAAGTCCGTTCAATTAATGTCCGTCCAAGTTAAAGTCCGTTGAAATTTTTTCAAAAATTTTTCCATTTCGAACTTTTTGTCCAGAATATGACAACTAATTTGAGAACTTTATTGTGCCGTAAGTTAACGACGGAAAGGTTCTCCTTGGTCTGCCGGATAGGAGGCACAGAAAACTTTACTAGTATATAATGTTTTCAAATTCAAGGGTCACTTGGCGGAAAAAAGTCAACGAAATTATGGCACTCAACAACATAGTTCATGAACTAGTCCCCGCCAACATGACAAACTTGTTCCAGCCTCTTGATATTACGGTAAATCGTGTTGCCAAGGACATTGTCCGACGTTGTTATAGCTCATATTACTCAGGGGAGGTAATATGAAACAAAGTGCTGGGAAAGCTCTACGTGATGTTAAGGTTAACCTTAAGTTGTCTAAGATAAAACCACTTCACGCCGAGTGGCTTGTAAAAGTTAACACTGAAATGCAGGACCGGGGTAGTTTGATGAAAAAAAGGTTTCCATAAAGCTAGAAATCACTGATGCTTTAAGCATGGACTATTTCATGCACGAAAACCCATTTGATGAAGATGATATGTGATATATTAGACACTGATCATGTACACATATTTTAACATTTTTACTGCTTAATGACTGCTTTTCTTACTTACTGTATAAAAAATGGATCTAAAACTCATTTGCTGAAATTAAAAAACGTCACATTTTTTTTTAATTCGGATTTTTGATGGTTTTGAATGCCTTCGAGCGTTCATATTAATGTCCGTTCATAATTGTGTCCGTTCATGTAATGTCCGTCCAAATAAGGTCCGATAAGGTATTAACAATATGCATGAAAATTTATCCTGATGATAAAGTGAAATATTAATTGATTTATAAAATTGGTGAAGCAATGTCTTTCAACAGTATTTAGTAATGCTTAGATCCTCTTTTATTTATCCAGAGATTCTATGTAGAGCTGTTAAATCTCACCTTATCATTAGTTTGGCTCCATTTAAATTGGAGTTTCTGTAACGATATCCTCGTTTGCTTTTACTAGCGATGCTCCCTCACAGGCAATTTGATCAGCAGTATCTAGCGTTTGCTCTGCTGAAGCAACTTTAAGCGATCTTAAAGATATTATACATTTCGAGAATACGGCAGCAAAATGTTTGACAGTCTCATCAAAACACTCTCGGAGAGTGTTGTCATACAATAAAGGGTTAATGACCGAATTGAGGGGTAAAACTATCATAGCGAAGGTGACGTACCAATCTGAAGCATCGATTGTTTCAAGATTGTGGAGCCCACTGATGATTATAAATGGAACCCAACAGGCAAAATCGGTGGCTATGATGAGCGCAACCCTGTTCTGCATCACCCGGTTTTTGCGGACAGCTTCAGGATTGTTGTTCTGTCCAGAATTCTTAGATGATTTCTGCGATTTCATGTTGATCATAAAATAAGACACGGTTATCAACACAAAGCAGAAAAGGTTGACGCCCAACATGAGCCAGACTATAATATTTCCTTTCACGTCGATCATTTCAGTTTCCACATCCGATGTTGTTCGGCTTCTTCTAGGATCATCACTTCGAACAAAATACTTGAAGAGGCACACACCATCATTACCGTAAAAGTGAACAGCACTTTTACTCAAGCTTTTTTCGAACATTCTATCAACTTTCTTGCCGATTCTAGCCCAAGTTTCAGTTGTTGAAATGTTTTGTTTATAGTATGCTCGAAGAATTTTGATGTGCTTTATTTTGTTTGGGAATCCGATAAATAACTTGTAGAGTGGATCATAAAAGAAACCTTGCACAAAATAGTCCTCTAAAGCGGGGACCAATGGTATGATTGCCACTGATAGCGAGGCAATAGTGATTCCAATAACGATCCCAATGGCTTTTGCTATTACTCTTTTATTGACAGGTGCTGGAGCGCTAAAAGAGCTTTTCAGAATTCCCCACATCCTTATCAGGCTTAGAATCGTCATAGAAAAGAGAGAAAGTTGTGATCCTGTAGTACTGATAACTCCTAGAACAGAACAAGCATTTCCTGATAACCACTCAGCTTGCTTCCTGCAATAATCCTTTCCGAGAATGAAACTGTCGAATACGGATAGTACGACCAAGTAGACTCCTATCAGGAAATCACCCGATCCGATTAGACAAACTAACACTGTAGTGTATAGCTTGCTTCCTGTTTCAGAGTCTTTCACTAAACTCGCTACTTTGGTTACCATGACAGCATTAAAAATGACTGCTAAAAGGCCCAACAACCAGCAATAAAGTTTCAAGAACATGTTCATGATAATTTCCTTGCCACAGATTAAATTGCATTCATCTGAAAGATCGAAACAATCAAATATACCATCACACTTCTGAGAATAAGCTATCCAGTGCTCTTTTACACCAGTCAGGTTTCTTGTATTTTCACACACCGCATGGTTAGTACAGTTTTGTTCATCGGACATGTCACCACAGTCATCAACAAGGTCACAAACTTGGCTATACTCAATACATTTAGTATTTTTACATTGGAAAAATGTATTTTCATATTCACCATGATCAGACAATGTTACGAAAGTCAGGTTATTGTTGTTGGCCAGAGTTTTAACTCGGTCAGGATACTGACCAGGACATGAATCATACTCTAAAAGCGTGTCCTGAAGAGGACATGTTGAGTTTTGGCACAAACCCATGCAACTGATAAACACATAATATTCACCGAACAGATTATTGCAGTTCACCTTTAAGCTCGGGACATTAAGCATTATCTTAACACCAAAAACAGATCCTGCTGGCCTCCTAAATTCCCGTGTACGACATGGTACATTTTTAAGGTCTGATAATTTGCATAAATCTCGTCCAGCACATCTTTCATTCACAGCAGACGTATTGATACTTGGGAAATCTCGCGAAATTCGGCAGACCTCATTTTCAACCTCTGCCTCACAAGAGTTCACACCATCACAAAGAAAGTCAAACTCAACATAGCCGGTAAAAAGCGGACAATAAAAAACGTTCTGGCAGGTTTTTTCTCCGATGGCTATTCTTTTAGCGAAATCGAAAATAGGGGATTGATTATTATTTCCACAATTTTTCCAAAACTGACTGTGAATATATTCATCTTCTCCGATCATATTATGAGCATATACAGGGAGACAGTCGGATTCCTTGTCCCTTATCCATTTTATAGGTATTTCCATATTTCTATCGCCACCAAACTTGCGAGTACAGTTGAAGTAGCCCTTTGTTGTTAGTTGGCATATGTCAAGGGTCTCATCACTATTATCTTCACAGTCACTAACTCCATCACAGAGTCTGTGTTTGTGAACTTTACAGTTTGTGAACCGAACATCGCTGTTGCTGTTGATAAAGCTCTGTGACGGATTCTCACCAGAATTTCTTCGACAGTTCTGGTCACAGTACTCTACAAAATGTCGTACTCCTTTTTTATCTTCACTAAAATAACCTCCACAGAGGTAATCGTTTTGTTTTGTAATTTTCGAATGAAAACCACTTGCCTGATAAACATACGGGTCATTTTCACACACAGTAGAGACACTAAAGAGTGTTTTACTCTCAGTACTCATTACATTATAGGTAATGTTCGAATATGCGCACATGTGAAAGTAATCTTTTCTACTTTCATCATAACACAGGTGTTTCAAAAATCCGCCGATATTAGTCACAGTGCAATTTTTGTTGGATTGCTGCCAAATTTCGTCAACACATCCTGGTCAGTGGACAGTTGTTATTTTCAAAATAGAACAAAAACCACCTGCAGATACCCTATTATTTCATCTTCATGTCGCACTACGAGCCTCTACAGGTTATTTAGTACTAATTGTTTAGTTTGACTTTACTGGAGGCCACGAAATATAATAAAATAAATCGTAACTCAATTAGAAAGTTTAACTATAGACCTGTATTACTAAAGCAGTGGAGCCAGATACTGTCCTCATATTGACAGTTGAGTCTGTGAACAAAATCGCAAACTGATATGTCTGTATCTTTCTCTTTACAGCTTACGTGATTCATTTCTCTTGACATGTCATTGTCAGTTCGATTCAGCCATTCCCTGAATTATTAAATGGTTGAGTGCAGAATGTTTGGATATTCAGAATGGGAAATATACAGGATTTCCATTGCAACAGAAACTTTGATGTTGACATGTAATTATGAATTAAACTCACTCTGGAACATATTTCATGTTTCTCGGATAACTTCCCCAGTCTGAGAAGCGATGTTCAATTGACCGGCAAAGAAGCTGTGCCGAATACCAGTTAAATGAATTCTTACAAACAAGTCCATTTTGCGCCTCACCAGTTTGCTTGTCAATAAATGTTGTGATCAAAAGACCCCCGTTATCATTTAATCTTTTCGTTCCATTTACCATGTTGATAAGAGACATATTTCCCTCAAAGTCCCAGACACTCTCTGAAACAATCATTATAACAGTTAGTGAAGAATCGTATTTTTTCCCGATCCATGACTCAAGTGCCGAAGGCACAAAAGAGTCAAGGACAAGGGTTAGCGAACGAGGTTCATTTTGGTATAACTATATGGTAGCTTGTGTCCGTCGCCTGCTGTCGTCGCGTACATGCCTGTTATCGCCCACCGCGCCCACGTTCCTAACTGTGCAAAGTTATTTTTCGCGATATTCTGAATTAAATTTTTGTTGGTGCGAGCTGCTGAACTGATCATCGTCAAGTAAAGCGTTCATTTCACCATAAACGTATCCCACAAGGCACAAATTGATAGCATATTATTTCGAGTTAGTATTACTATTATGCACAGATATGTGTCAGGTTGCATAAATAATAAACATATACGGTACATAGAAGTATACACGATTTTAAAATTCAATATGGAGTTAACTTGGCGGCGCTCGGCCTGTCACTCTGCCATATCCGCATCTTAACATGGTACCGCGACAATTGACCCCCCCGACAATTGATCTAGGGTTTAGTCTCTTGAGTCTTGACACCATTTCCTGCTAGTGCTTATAAACAGTAAATCCTGGGGTTCTCAGGTTGTATGGAATATGATAAAATACGCCATCATGGATCGGGAAATTGAGCGGCCATCCACAAAAGAAAAGTGGCCACATTTCTTATTGAAAGAGCGAATTAACCCTTATTAAATATTTATTGATCCTTCCGTGATTGGTCTAATAGTAATAATAAACGAAGTCCCAGTATCGGATTAAACGATGCTGAGGATAGAGTTTTAATTTCACTTATTAATGTTACATTGTCACGGCCCACAATCCACATTTTTAATTCACTAACCTATATAATAAGAGGCACTCAGGAAGCCGCGCGATCCAAGAAGGGTTATTTGCATTTTGCTCACTTCTCTTCCCCACTTCCAGATTCTTCCACTACACCTTCTAGAGGTTGCTGTTATATTGATAACCAGTTCTCCGTTGCAATGTATTATAGTCCTATAACCATGTTTTTCTACCACCCAGTTTTTATCTGTTTCTGCTGGTAGATTTGTCAGGAAGGGAGTCCAGGTTGACTGACAACTTAATTTTAACCCACCTACAGAATTACTGAGTTGGATGATAATATCTCCTAGTACACTGTATTTCTCATTATAGTACACTATGGATATATAGCCCTGACTATCCACAGTGGTGTTCGTTCTCAGGTGCAGGTAAGAATTCTCCATGTCAGCAGGGATCCTCATAAGCCATATACTCTTTTTCATATACTGATACTCTTTGTCAAGTATCCACATACCTGTTGATTTGTTAGTTATTCTGAGATTAACCGGGAAGGAAAATGTACGATATAATATTGTATAATTATTATATATCCATGGTTTTTCATATAATAAAATATATTATATCACAATGCTGACAAGCATTACCGTTGCCATTATATTCACAATACTATTTACCCCCCTATACTATTATATCCCCTTTATTGTTTTTCAGGCATTAACACTCATCGAAAGTAGTTCAGCAGGTATATTCAAGTTCAAAACATTCTAATTCAATGTTAAAGATGACAGGAATAAGAAATAGTTATGTGGAGGAAAAGGAAACGTTTTCAAAGGTAAAATTTCGAAATCTTTGAAATGACCTCCTTATTAATGAAGTTTCGACTGTGTAAATTATTCTGACATTATAATCAAAAAGAGATGATATTTGACCAAAACCCATAATCATGGGTAGAGTGAACCGCTTTTCCCATTCATTCACGGCTTACGAAATGTAATAAAGCTTATAATTATTGAATGGGAAAAGCGAGCGACCGATTTCATTCTCGGTATCAATTTGCATTTGCGGACGGTTCCTCAAATTAATATCATTTCCTTTTGTTTGGGAAAGAGAGACACTGGCAGCGGTTCACTCGACCACTGATTATGGGTTTTGGTCAAATATACCTATACGAATTAATAATAATTATTAACTCTATCATCTAAATATATAAAGCGAGACGATATAATATATGGATGTGTTTATCCGTGCCATTTTACTGACACCACGGCATCAAGTTTAACGCGACTTTCCGCAAAAACCGTAAAAGATATACAACTGAAACTTTTTTGAATGGGTCAAATTATGCTTTAATGGCCTCCAAGTCCAAGTCAGCATGAAAAAGTAAAAAATTGGCCAAGGAATAGGAGTTTTAGAGCCCAAAATTTGGACCCCCAAGTGGTGTCAAAAACGCGAATTAAATAGGTAATAATTATTTCAGTCTCTAACTCTTGACACCATTCGTTATGAATATTATCGTTCGTAATATTATCTGCACAAATTAGCAGATACAAATAAGTATAAAAACCAATATCTATTTACAAACTACAGCTACTATTTTACTTGGAAATGTGCCGTCGCTAATTATTGAATCTTATCTTTTTATACATAGCTGATAAGATTTTCAATGCATGTAAGACTATGTACTTATATTATTACTGCAGTACAAGTATTGTTTCGACTCCAAAGTAGTGTGCTGTTTTTTGCACATGGGGGCCAATTCGAACAAAAATACGATTTAGAACCGACATATGCTGCTGCCACTGGCGGAAGCGCTGCCCAAATTTCGCACTTTGTATGACCAAAATGTTTGTACGGAAATTTATATTAAAATAATTGTTATCATTATCATAACACCAAGTCTGTTATCTTTCAACTATTCCTATTAATTTTCAGGCTCAAGTATTAGGTTTTGTACGTCACATGTGAACAAATGAATACAAATTATTAAGCCTTCTCTCCTACACATTCAGTTCCAGGTTAATATAATAAAGAATAAAATAATGTTTGATGAGATTCCTAGACTCTTTGACTTTGATTTTTTAGTGCGTGACAGGAATTATTATTATTTGTTTATGATACATATCAGATGATGACTCTAATAATGAAGTACCTGGCACCTGCTGCTATCTCGCGCTGTTGATTTCTCCGATCATCAATATAATCCAATAATACCTTGGATTTTGAGTGCTACGCGCGATAATTCCCATCGGCTTGCTGGAGTATACTATAATGATATCATTCTCTAAATTGTAGCTTACCAGCAAACCATATACGCTTTGTCGTATACTCTTTGTCAAGTATCACAGGATTCCACATACCTGTTGATTTATTAGTTATGCTGAGATTAACCGGGATGAAATATTCCGAGCTGCGAAACAAATTTCAAAAATGTTAATAGGAAAATGTACGATATAATATTGTATAATTATTGTATATCCATGGTTTTTTCATATTATATAATATATTATATATACCTATACGAATTAATAATTATTATTAACTCTATCATAATCGTAATAGTCACATGGTATGAAAATGGAGTATATCACCTGCTTCGTTGGTACAATGCAGCCACACGCTCCGATTACTACTGCAACTGTCTGTTGATACTCTAACATTGCATTCAGAACTTGCATTCAGAACTTCGTTGTTAATGTCTTTGCAAATCAATTCACTCAGTATCATAGACTCTTTTGTGTGTTGTTGTAAAAACGTTCTGGATTATATTATTGGTTTTATAAATTTATACAGGGGGAGGGGGCCAAAAATCAGTACCCAAACGTTGGCCTTAATAGCTCAGTCACTGAGTGCCCAATTGAAATAATTCTTATGATATGACTCACTACCACCACTGGTTCGAGGAATTTGTAAAATCGAAAAATATTCGTGTTAATTTTTTACAAATGAAGGTTAATTTTTGCATTTATTTGATAGTTTGGATAGTCGATAGTTTGGATATTCAAGCTAAATTTTATTGAATTGTGTTTAACCATTTAAATCAAGTTTGTCCTGAAAAAAAAATGAGAGTTCTAGTTTCTCAGATGACCGAGATACGAAGCATAACGAGTATGTTCATTACGTGTGATCAGGTGATTGTTTTGAGGCTAGATCTGCATTGTGGGAATCGTGCAGAGAGCTCAATTACGGTGTCGTAATTGGGTAATCATTGATTACCTAAAATGAGATTGCAGTTTTTGTTACGTGTTGACAATCTAGCTCTCTTATCTCTATTTTATCGCTACATTATATATAACTGCCATTGTGCTGGTACTGTGTTTTTATTTATACAAGTACAAGTACAGGATGGATGATGATGAAATAGATACACTTCAAAGATTGTCAGGTTACTCTGCCTACATTACCGAAGAGCATGAGGTCTATAACGATTCGGTCACTGAACTCGCGGAAGCTATGAACTGTGACAATAAATCAGAGTTTTCAGTTGAAACGTTCAAAAAGCCAGAGAAGTCAGTTTTAGTAAAATATTTGTATTGTGCGTATCAGACAACCAGTGATCATGTAAATAAGTTTCTGGATATCAAGAAAGATATGGAGGAGTTGAAGAGCGATCTTATCCGATCGCAAAGTACTATTATCAAGCTGCAGGCTGAACTTCTGGAAATCAAATCGAAGCAGTTGGAATCCGTGCACTCCACCGTCAAGACCGCTGTTCAGGACACTGTTCAAGCAGTCAAGCTGTTTCAAAAGCAGAAGAGAGCTTGAAAAAGGTTGTACAGAATGTTATATCAGAAGATGATCGAACTAAGAATGTGTTAATATTTGGAAGAGAATCTGAGTCATGAAGTTGGCGAGATGTTTCAGCAGATTGAAGAAAAGCCACACTTCGAAGCTGTCTTGGTTGGGAAAAAGTCAGCTGAAAAGATTAGACCCGTTAAAGCTTCTTTTGAAAATTCAAGTGCAATCCATCAGATATTAGTGAAAGCCAAAGAACTGAGACTGATTCCACGTCATAATTTTTTTTTCATTTCTCCGGACCGATCACCTGAGGAACGAACTATCCATCAACAGTTGCAAGTCTTAGAGATGAAACAGATTGCCAAAGAAGACACAGATAAACACTATTATATCAGAAGTCGTAAAATTTGTTGTAAGGACAAGGTATTGGAGTGAACGATTTATAAATATAATAATGTTTAATGATATATATCCTTAAGTTGTTTTTTATACCGGTGCTATACTAACTTTTAATGTCAATAAGTAATTTGGTTTTGGATTTTTTGGATTTATCATACTCATTAAGGGTATTTGGCTAAATTGGACCTAATTTGGACCAAATATGGGCGTGGCTGCCCCGCAGGCACCGTTTGGCGGTTGGGGTCTGGGACCCCCTCAAAGGTTTGGTCACCGGTCCTAGTTTATTGGTCAACTGCTATCTCGAAACCAAGTTTCACAAAAAATCAGGGTTAACCCCCTCTCCCCCCCCCCCCCCCCCCCCCCCCCTTAAAGCTTAACTGAATATCTTAGTTTGGGGTATATTCATAGGTCAGCCGCTTTGACATCGGCAATTTTTATTTTTATTTGGATTGTTGATATAAGCGGGATAAAAATGCTTTATTTCATTTCATTTCATTTTCATTTTCATTACCCAATCAATTTTGCTAACGAGATAAACAAGTTGCTCGATAACTTCGTCATTTTAAAATCCGTTTCGCACCATCTTTTCAGATTATATTCCGGATTAAATTACCTATTGCAATATGTTACAACAGAGTCTTTAACATATTCACAAACACGAGTATAAGCAATTCAGTGTTGAATGGGTGTGGCACCAAAAAATCGAATTTTCAAATTTTGTTGACGCTGTGCTTGATCAACACAGCGAAGCCTCGGGCGAAGAAAGTGTGGCATAGTGCCTTAACCGTTGCTGGCCTTAGGAACGATCCTTCGGCTTCTTGTAAAGCTCTTCCTTGAAAGTGCTGGTTTACATTGTAATGCAGGTAATGCCGAAGTAAAATAACAAAGGTGGTCGACTCATTCGATGGCCTTGTTGCGTCGCAACGAATCCTCATAAGATAAGATAAGATAAGAATCCTCGAGCAAGTAGGTACAGTATGCCATCTGCAAAGCAACAACTCTAAAATATAACGCGGTGGTATAACTATAAGACCCAACGTATGGGTACTGAATTTTTGTCCCCCCTGAATTTTTGTCCCCTCCGTTTAGAAGAAAAATTCAATTAAAAACTCACTCGGAAATGAGTCTCCAATAATTGTTAGGTTTGCTGTCCCACTTTCCCTGTTCGTTTCCAAGGTAGCGACAGAAGGTATTTGCTGTGTACCAATTAAAGTTACCAGGACAAACGGTGCCGTTCATCTTTTCTCCACTTTTCTTATCGAATAAACTCACAACGAGCACACCTTCATTTCTTGTTCCAACAACTGTACCGTTCACCTCGTTTACTAGGGATGCTTCAAAGAATTGCCAATCATTGTAAGATCGACTCTCAGACGCTTCCCCAACTGAAAAAAAAAACGCAATATAAAATACCTACCTTCGGCTACCTCAACAACGAAGTTTTTAGCAAGAATTGGGAGAAAAGTTTTAATGATTTAAATTTTTGCATCGATTTTATTTGTAACACAAGTTTTTTATCTAAGGTGCATCGTCAGTAAATAGCAGCTTTTTGAAACCATAAATATCAGTGTGAGCTGTGACTCACCATAGTTATTCACAGTTTCATCATCTTCTGTATCCTCATTTCTTACTCCATGATTGAGCACCAGCATTAAACTGCAGGTAACAAAAGTTAATAAATTTATTGGTAAATAAATATTTATTGTAAATATAATATAATAATATTAATCATATGTCTACATCATACCTGAACACTGAATGTACAATGTACATTCGGTGTGATCACACTGTTTACAGCAGAAGAAAACGAAACGCAACGCGCCAGAAGTAAGTTTTGAATTTTCTGCAACGTGACCGGGAACGTGCGCGCGCAAACTAAATTTGGCCCGGCCCCCCCAGAATGTTCCAGTCGATCGACATCCTTGTACTGTGATATGTACAGTGTAACACGCGACGCGTGGTAAAGTTTCGAAGTACCCAATATATTTAGTTGGTTTTAACAATCGTATGTTAATTGTTGAAATTGGCTGCATTTGTAAATACAATACTGTTTTAAATTTCATTTTACGTAAGTGTACAAACCGAACTCCTCAAGAGTTCGTAATTTTGGGGTGAATGATTTTCGTAGAGTTCGTTGTCACTGAGAGTTTCGTAGAAGTTCGTACAATCAACTATGACTATAAGAACCCAACGTATGTGTACTGAATTTTTTGTCCCCCCTGAAATTTTTGTCCCCTCCGTTTAGAAGAAAATTCATATTAAAAACTCACTCGGAAATGAGTCTCCAATAATTGTTAGTATTGCTGTCCCACTTTCCCTGTTCGTTTCCAGGTAGCGACGAAGGTATTTTTGCTGAGTACCAATTAAAGTTAAACCAGACAAACGGTCCGTTCATCTTTTCTCCACTTTTTCTTATCAATAAAACTCACAACGACTACACCTTCATTTTTTCTTGTTCCACAACATGTCACCGTTCACACTGTTTAACTAGGGATGCTTCAAAGGAATGCCAATCATTGTAAGAAATCGACTCTCAAACGCCTTCCCCAACTGAAAAAAAAAACGCATTATAAAATACCTACCCACCTTCGGCCTACCTCAACAACGAAGTTTTTTTTTAAGGCAAGAATTGGGAGAAAAGTTTTAATGATTTAAATTTTGTGCATCGATTTTATTTGTAACACCGTTTTTTTTAACTAAGGTGCATCGTCATTAAAATACAGCATTTGGAAACCATAAATATCAGTGGTGAGCTGTGACTCACCAAAGTTATTCACATTTTCATCATCTCTGTATATATCCTCATTTCTTTACTCCATGATTTGAGCACGCAGCATTAAAAACTGCAGGTAACAAAGTTAATAAATTTATTGGTTAAATTCACCAAGATTTTTTGAGAAACGACGATCTAGATCCGATTATAAGTATATTTATAATATATAGATATACTATTACTATAATCAGATCTAGATCTTCTTTCCTCTAAAAGAGTATAATTAGTCATGGATCTGACGACATTCCCGTCTATATAACTTTCCGCCCCGGGGGTTTTGAGACTTGGAATAAACCTCCAGGGACCCATTAGAAACAAATTTGGCTTGGGTAAAATTTTGCTATGGGGCAGTTTTGCGCTAATTGACCACGCCCTTTTTTTGGCGCTTTGCAAACTTTAAATCAAAATAACTCCGCTTCTAAAATTGGAATTAGAAGCTCCAGCTTGGCTTTAAAGTTTTTTCAGAATCATCACATTTAGGGGGTAAGCATAATTTTTAAAGTCAACAACATCGGGTTGTTGATTTATGTGACCATCTGACACCTTATTTGACCTCCTCGCGAGTCCGTGATTTTCACACTAAATACGAGATAGTCTCGGCTTCTGGAATGAGCTACGTGCTCATCCGGCATTAAAATGTTCACGGGAATCATCACATAGAGTAGGGTAGAACAACACTTTCAAAGTCCTCAAATGTCAGGTTGTTGAGTTATTAGGCCCCATCCTGTTTTTTTTTACTCACTCAGCGGTAGCGATTGCAGGCGCTTAAAAAAATCCAAAAATAACTCAGCTTCCAATTGAAGTTAGGAGCAAAACTCTGGCAGCAAAATGTCCAATCATCCTCATTGAGTGGGGTAGAACGTAGTTTCAAAGTCCTCAGACCCAGGTTGTTGAGTTATTCGGCCGCACACCAATAATATTTACTCTTCTCGCAAGTCGCGAGAGCTGTCCGACACTTAAAATCAAAATAACTCGGCTTCTGATTAGAGTAAGAACTAAACTAGGGCATAAAAATGTCAGAATCATCACATTGAGTGGAATAAAACGTAGTTTTCAAAGTCCTCAAGACGTTAGGTTGTCATTTTAGGCTGAAACCCATTTGTACGCTCTCAGCGAGTTCCGCGAGTCACACTTAAAATTTCCAGATAACTCGGTTTCCTGATTAGAGGTTAGAACAAACCTTGGCATGGAGAAATGTTCAGAATTATCATATTAAGTGGGGTAGAACGTGGTTACAAAAGTACTCAGGCTCCCGTTGTTGAGTTTATTCGGCGGAACCCCTATTTTTAATGCTCTCGCGAGTCGCGAGTCGACACTAAAATCAAATAACTCGGCTTCCTGAATAGAATAAAAACAAACTTGGCAAAAAATTCTGGACATTTCTAAGCCCAAAGTTTAATTCCTAACTCTAATCAGTAGCTAGAGTTATTTTGATTTTAAGCATAGAATCCCTACTTTGCGAGAGCGTAAAAATAGGGTTCCGTCGAAAACATAACAACCTGACGTCTGAGGACTTGAAGGTACGTTCTATCCCACTAATTTAGATTCTGAACATTTTTTATGCCCAAGTTTTAGTTCCTAACTCTAATCAGAAGCCGAAGTTATTTTGATTAAAGTGTCGACTCGCGGCTCGCGAGAGCGTAAATAATTATGGTGTGGGGCCTAATAACTCAACAACCTGACGACTGAGGACTTTGAAACAATGTTCTACCCACTCAATGTGATGATTTCTGAACATTTTTATGCCCAGTTTAGTTCCTAACTCTAATCAGAAGCCGAGTATTTTGATTTTAAAGTGTCGACACTCGCGCTCGCGAGAGCATAAAACTGGTTCCGCCTAATAACACAACAACCTGACGCTGAGAACTTTTTGAAACCACGTTCTACCCATTAATGTGATGAAGTCTGACATTTTATGCACAAGTTTAGTCCTAACTCGAATCAGAAAAAGCCGAGTTAATTTGATTTTAAAAAGGTTGTCGACTCGCGACACGCGAGAGCGTAAATATTATGGTGTGGGCTAATAACTCAACAACCTGACGACTGAGGACTTTGAAACTACGTCTACCCCACTCAATGTGAGATTGTGAACATTTTGCTGCCCGAGTTTTGCTCCAAACTTCAATTGGAAGCTGATTATTTTGATTTTTAAGCTCTGTCTAAAAAAAAAAATCGGGGCTACCGGCGCGAGAGCGAAAAACAGGTTGGCCTAATAACCTCAACAACCAGACATCTGAGACATTGAAATTGTGGTCTACCCTACCAATGTGATATCTGAACATTTTAAAAAGCCCATGATGAGCACGTCCTCAATCAGAGCCGAGATAATCTCGTATTTAGTGTAAAATTCACTACTCGCGAGGGTAAATAATGGTGTGGTCCACCATAACCGACACCCGATTGTCTGGTTTGACTATAATAATTTATGCCTCTATCCCCCCTAAATGTGATGATTCAGAACAACTTTAAAAGCCAAGCTCAGCTTCTAATTCGCAATTAGAAGCAGGATTTATTTTTGATTCTAAAGTTTCAAAAGCGCAAAAAAGGGCGTGGCCAATTGCGCACAACTGCCCCATAGCCAAAATTACTACCCAAGCCAAATTTTGTTTCTAATGGACCCTTGCGGTACTCCAAGTCTCAAACCCCGGGGCGGAAGTTATATAGACGGGAATGTCGTCCGATCCTTGACTAAAATGGTATATTATGGACAAACGTTTTCATTGAGTTTGAGGAAATTGGTAAATTATAAGTGACCCTATTAAACGGCACAGTTAGTGGACTGTGTCACACTATGAAATTACTAAACCCTTGGTGGTTAGGATAATCGTCTCATCCTTCTAGGCAAACTTTGTCACATAACTAATATCTTAATCAGGTGATACATATCCGTTTAAATACGCCGGCACGGAAATGGGTTACATTGTCACGATATCAACATTACGGAGTACATATGGACCCCTTGCTGACGTTTTTGACCAAGATATTTTTTTGTGTGTCCAGTTGATTGGATGGTAACATAGACCATTGCCTACCATATTTGACGAATTTTTTTTCGTTAGATGGCGCATCTCAGGTTTACTCTGTCACACATTAAAGAAACTATGTGAACAATGTATAGGGCACCCTGACAAGCAATGCCAGAGTGTGTATGTTTATTTGAAATGGCCTGGAAGTGCTGGGAATCGATATAAATATTCACATAGTCGTAAGGAATAAAAACACAAAAGGCACAAACAAGATTTAATACTTTTGTCACATACTCTTGAGGAATCTGAACATATTGTGTGAAAGTAACAAATAATGATATAACAGCTTGAACACCCTTATATTACGTACTAAGGATAAAAAACAACACTGCTATTACCATGCCACCAGTTACATAAATCCATTACCAGTGGTAATATGTGTAACAGTGTCACAAGTAAAATACCGCACATGGTCATAAGTAGGGTAATTTTTGTCACAAACAAAATTATTATAACTCAGTTAGCTACTGCTGGCACAATAACGAGTTTTAAATCAAAATGTTTTTTGATTATGAAGTTAACATAGTATTCTATAAGGAATAAGTTACTTCAAAAAAAAAAAAGGGGCAAGACATGTTTACTTTGTCAATCAGTTATTAAAAGAAGTTAGGTAATCGTCATAAGATTAAACTATCATTTTTTGTAGTTTGGATCGATTAATATAGGCAATAAAGCAGCCTATGCTAAATTTAACACACTATCTTTGATATTGTTGGGACAGGGAAAGTTATTTTGTCACATTTTTTTAGTGAACTTTGACAAATTTAACAAAAGATTGCAAACTTGACCTCTGATGGTTCTGGAAAATGTTTCTATTAATCTTTTGAAAAAATCTTTGAATTCCTAATAGAGGTATAGATCTTCAAAATAGGGCAAGACATTTTTACTTTGTCACTAAGTTATTAATAAAGAAGTAAGGTAATCGTCATAAGATAACAGATCTTTTTTGTAGTTTTGGGATCGATTAATATTAGCAATAAAGCAACCAATGCTAAATTTTAAACACACTATCTTGCTATTTTGGGGGCAGGGAAAGTTAATTTTGTCACTTTTTTAGTGACTTTGACCAATTTATACCAAAAATTGCCAAACTTGACCTCTGATTTTCGTGACAGGTTCTAATAAATCTTTTGAAAAAATCTGAATTCAAATAGATGTAAAGTAGATCTTCAAAATAGGGGCAAGACATGTTTAACTTTGTCACATTAGTTATTAAAAGAGTTAGGGTAATCTTCCATCAGATTAACAAATTCTATTTTGTAGTTTGATCGTTTAATTTAGGCAATAAAGCAGCCTATGCAATTTTAACACACTATCCTTGATTATATTGGGTGGGGCAGGAAAGTTAATTTTGTCACATTTTTAGTGACTTTGGACAAATTAACCAAAAATTGTCAAACTTGAACCTCTAATGTTCGAACAATAATTCTATCATCTTTTTCTGAAAGAAATGGTTAAATTCTAAAGAGGTAATAAGATCTTTCAAAATATGGGCAAGCCATGGTTTAACTTTGTTACATCAGTTATTATAAGAGTTAGTAATACGTCCATCCAGAATTAAGAATCTTTTTTGTAGTTTGGATCGATTTAATATAGGCAAATAAAGCATCCTATAGCCAATTATACACATGACCTATCTTGATATTTGTTGGGGCAGGGAAAGTCAAATTTGTCAAAATTTTTTAGCGACTTTACAAATTTAAAAAACCAAAATTGTCAACTTGAAATTTTTTGTGACAATGTTAACATCAAGTGAATCTTAACTTGCATCAACAACATTGGGTCCTTAAATAAAGTTTTCCGCCATTCAAACCATAAGTCTAATAATAACTCGCCCAAATTTAAAATCACAATATAAAATTCCCATAAAATTGTGACAGAAATAAGCTCATTTCCCAATAACCAAGTGCCTGTCTTAGCTAACTAATTCAAACCAACATATGTCTTAGGGCTATATTGGTTAGAGCAACATCAAATAAGATTGAAAGGGTTTTGGGACACCTCACAGTAGAAAAGAGGTATTATATTCCGAGTGTGACAAAGTTACCCAAATGTCGCCTTGTAACCGTTCGATCCGTGCCCTTTAACCAATGTTGTATCATAATTGTTAGATTGACCTAATCTACTATATTTCAGACCAAGTAATGATAATTAGGCAACTGCAGTTAACTAAGTCACACAAAATGTGACATTTGAACCATTATAGTGCCTAACAACAATAGATTTTCTTTCTGAGTAGTGCATATGGGAGTATGGGTTACGTGGCTTATGTTCAGAACTTCTGAACGTGCTAGGTTAAGAGATGTTAAAATTAAGCCACTATCGTCAAAAACGCTATTATTTTTATTTACCAATATCCTCAAACTCAAATGAACGTGTCCATATATAATTGACGAACAGTATTATAGAATGAACTCAATGTAGATAAGTTCACACGACCCCAATTTCCAGTGTCTGTAGCCTCTCAAATAAACTGTCAAGAGTCTCATATACCTCATTGGGGCTTTACATGAATGTATTGCGATTTGCGTCGTATTGTCATGAAATACAGCTCGATGTGTAATGTGTATTCAAATCACCACCAAATGCATTATGAGCTAAAATAAATCACATTTCTTGCACAAAAATAGCTAATTAACTATAATAAACAAACAAAAGTTTGGGGGAAAGAAGAGGCACGGTATATCAAGATACTCGGTATAGAAAGGCACGGTATATAGAGGTTCCACTGTAAAACACCGGTCTGTAGGATTTAACTGGTTAGTTCTTGACTTCCAGTTCCAGAGCCCACAAAAATATTCGAATATCTAGAAATATTTAACTTATCAGTCCTCTAATGTAAATATAATATAATAATATTAATCATATGTCTCTCACCATATCAAGCATGAAATTAGAATACTCTTCATGTGGTCGTTGAGAAAAGCATATTTGGATTCTCGTCAATATCAGCGATGAAACATAGTAAATAAAGCCGATAAATAAATTGTGTACCAACTATCCACAAATACGAATAATTAACACGTGGGTCGTGGAAGGGCTAAACAAAACTATTTTTCATTGTTCTGTCAATCTATAAAACACACCGATTTGGGCTAAACAGAACTTTTTCATTGTTTTGATAATCTATAGACAGAGAAGGGGTTTAGTGGCATTGCATGCAGCACAGTATAAAAGTATAAAACACACCAATTTGGGCTAACTGTTAACTAAGTTCAGAGGTAATAATTGAGCTTTTTCAATTATAATACCATGTGGACTAACACAATAAGACAGTCTTTCCAGTTTGACTGACTGGCCCTCATTTCAAATTTCAACAAATTCTTTGCTCTGAAATCACTGGTTGATATGTCATATGAGTCAAAGTAGTATAATTAAATGATGGATTTTTCCCCCTACTCTTGCCGAAGGCAAAAAGATCGTAGGGAATAAGTAATCGGGTGTGGATATATGAGGTGGCCCGATCACGGTCCTACGGTGATGACAAAAGTCTGCTCCTTCGAGGCACGGTATATCAAGATACTCGGTATAGATTATAGAAAGGCACGGTATATAGAGGTTCCACTGTAAAACACCGGTCTGTAGGATTTAACTGGTTAGTTCTTGACTTCCAGTTCCAGAGCCCACAAAAATATTCGAATATCTAGAAATATTTAACTTATCAGTCCTCTAATGTAAATATAATATAATAATATTAATCATATGTCTCTCACCATATCAAGCATGAAATTAGAATACTCTTCATGTGGTCGTTGAGAAAAGCATGTTTGGATTCTCGTCAATATCAGCGATGAAACATAGTAAATAAAGCCGATAAATAAATTGTGTACCAACTATCCACAAAAACGAATAATTAACACGTGGGTCGTGGAAGGGCTAAACAGAACTATTTTTCATTGTTCTGTCAATCTATAGACAGAGGAGAGGTTTATTGGTAAGCAGTACAGTATAAAACACACCAATTCAGGGACAAAAGGATTTCGCGGCATGTACGAAATCGCGAAATTTCCCATTATCCGCGACAAATTTTATGTGTAGTTTAATGTATAGCCTGTTAAATTTCGCGGTACCGCGAAATTTGGCCAAAATAATCGCGAAATCCTTTTGTCCCTGCACCAATTTGGGCTAAACAGAACTTTTTCATTATTCTGTTAATCTATAGACAGAGGAGGGGTTTAGTGGCATTGCATGCAGCACAGTATAAAAGTATAAAACACATCAATTTGGACTAACTGTTAACTAAGTTCAAAGGTAATCATTGAGCTTTTTCAATTATAATACCATGTGGACTAACACAATAAGACAGTCTTTCCAGTTTGACTGACTGGCCCTCATCTCAAATTTCAACAAATTCTTTGCTCTAAAGTCACTGGTTGATATGAGTCAGAGTAGTATAATTACATGATGGATTTTTTTTCCTACTCTTGACGAAGGCAAAAAGATCGTAGGGAATAAGTAATCGGGTTTGGATATATGAGGTGGTGACAAAAGTCTGCTCCTTCGCAATGCCAATAAAGACCACTCCTCTATAATTAAGTGTATAGGGAGCGTCTGTTATTGGTTATGCTGCGCGCGACGCTAGCCATGTGTTAATTTATTATGAATTACACTTACAGTGAAATTCCTCCTTCGCAAAGTTGTTTTCTGCAATTTTCTGGATATTCATTTATTATTGATGCGCGACGCTACATGACATTGGTCAAATAAATTATCAATTTTTACCATGCACGAATCGCACTAATTAATAAAAAACACAGTATGTAAATATGTTGCACTTTTTTCCAGTCACACTTTTCACTCAAAAGAATTAATGGTACAAGTACATCGTAAAGAAAATTGATCGTGCGTGGTTTAACCGCGGCGAAATTTTTGTTTGGTTGCCTTTTTGTAGCGCGATGCACTACTGGGTCGCGCGCGCATCAAATAATGCTTCTCGCAACCAAATAATGCTTCTCGCCGATCTACTTCGGTAGATCGGCGAGATGCACCACTGTGCCTCACCGAGCTGCGAAGGATTGACATCGTGAATCAAATTGCCTTTTTGGGCAAAATTGTGGTACATGTAATTTAATGGGAGTAAGCGTATAACGTAAGGTTATACCGGCGGTTAATTGACGATGTCAATTCATGGCAGCTCGGCGCGGCACAGTAGCGCATCTCGCTGTGAGAAGCCTCATTGAGTGCGCGGCGCGGCACAGTAACGCATCGCGCTACAATACCGGCGGCACCTGTGTAACTAATGTATCAATGTACAATGTAGTCACTGGTTGCTGTGCAGTGTGCAAGCAGAAGTCACTTGTACCTGGTTGTTTTTTGTCATACGTTGTATGACCCGCCGCGCACCCCCTGTAGCGTGGGGGTCACCACGTGATACAAGTTGTTTTCTATCTGGACAATAATCACATTAATTTATAAGTAGCTCTATATATACTATAGCTTTTTATATATAGTAGTTGAGCACTTTGCAACCTGGCGAGATATTAGCAAAAAACTGTCCAGTCTTGATCACGTGATATGACCGTATAAGGATTAGGGATAGGGTTAGGGTTAGGGTTTGAGCAGAACGGAGAATCGTTTAAAATTATTTTCGAGGAAACTCGACTAAAACTAATCACGTTATTATATTTATATTTGGGCTTTTTACGGAAATATAAGACAATAGCAATTTTTAGCTTGTTAATGTTATTCCTTACCTGGGGACCACAGTACGTGCCCAGGCTATCATGTTCATAAACATACCAAATAGAGATTCGGCAGAATGACAGGCTGATCGAGCACCGCCCAGTAAGTTATTCCAAGTGATTTATATTAGTGCATATTATATTGATTCTAAATACAGGGTGGGCCAAAAGTCAGTACCCATACGTTGGCCTTAATAGCTCCGCCGTGTTTTATATTTGAAATTGAGATATGTTGCTTTCAGCTTTGCAGATGGCATACTGTACTTACTGGTTCGAGGATTCCGTCGTCAAAATTTGAAAAGTCGAATATTTTAGACCACGCCCATTCAATATTAAAACACCTATATTGTTTTCTCTGAACATGCTGAACGCCTAATGTTTTCAGAGACGGTAGATTATCAAATGTTGCATATGATCTGAAAATATGAGGCAAAACAGATTAGAAATGACAAAGTTATCAAGCATTTTCTGTATCTCGTTAACAATATTGACTGGGTGATTATGTGACACCGTGACACGACACCTTAATTGGGCACCCTTAACAATTCCCATAATGTTTAACGGGGTAGTTAACGGGGGCACCTTATCACGTGATTAGGTAAACCAATCACCTGATCACACGTAATGAATAAACTCGTTATGCTTCATATCTCGGTCATCTGAGAAGCTACAGTTCTAATTCTTTCAGGACAAACGTAATTCCATAACATTTAGCTTGATCCGACTGTCCAAACTATCAAATAAATGTGAAAATGAACCTCCATTTGAAAAAAATGAATGCGAATATTTTTCGAGTTGACAAATTCCTCGAACCAGTGGTGGTACTAAGTCATACCAGAAAGAAGTATTTAAATTGGGCACTCAGTGACTGAGCTATAAAGGCCAACGTATGGGTACTGACTTTTGGCCCACTCTGTACATTGCAAAAGATTTTATCTCGATTCGTGATCAAGTTCAAAAGAATTGAAGTTGTTACAATGCCGAACAATGCGCGCAATTCCGCCTTGGACCTTGGTATGGTATGTATGGGGAAATATAAACTACGCCTTCGAGAATTTAATCGGCGGGGACTTCAAGCCATGAATTTAGTTTATGGATCCAGTATAGACTTGAACAAAGGACAAAATAGACATTGGACAAGATAGAAACAAGATAGAGGCATGGCCTTATTAAACAAATTTTTCATTAACTTTGACAGTAAATAAGTAAAAGTTAACCGTGCCGAGTTAACGTTTATTATTTTCAGCATTCAACTGGTCCATATGTTAACAATCGCAAGCCAATAGAAAATAAAAATGCGTGAATGTGAGTTGAAAAGTAAAAACAAATTCGAGGTTATAAAAAACATTACAAAATCAAAACATTTCATATAACTTTTAAAAGAATCACAATAAAAGTATATATAGTATCAAAATCAAAACAGATCTTTAGCCTTTACACTTATGCTGCTACCAGTGGGCCCTCATTCTCTGTTACTAAAGTTTGAAATGCTTAAACTCAAAAGCTGTATCTGTTACAACAACGCTTTGAGGTAATACCAGTTCGATCATTTCCTCTGTTTAGGAAATTACGTTAACATTGAGCAATGAATGCACGTTACACTATTGATTTAATGCAAGTAACAAAAAGTAAATAATTGACAATTCAGATTACATGATTTATAATTAAATACTATATCACAAGTTGATATTTTGTCAGATTCAACATAATGACGGCCCCCATCCACTGCGTACATGATTCCACCCCGAAACGCTCAATCCCCGAAATGAAAACCTCGTAAAATACATGACAATAAGTTTAACACGTGACATAATAACACGTGTTCTATACCACGTACGTGTTATAAAACACGTGACATATGCAGGTGGTAATCATCACCAATCTTCACACACTGTATACATAATCAGAATGAGGAATCAGATAATTGACATTAAGAAAGTATTACATAAAATGAAGGTATCATCACAATCAGACTACTGATACTATTAGAGTAAACCACGCTGGAACCATCACAATTAACCAATTAATTAATTGTCAATTAAACGCGCTGTCCACATAAGACAATTATCAGTTTTGGTATACCTAACAACATCAACTTATTAGATCCGATATGAACGGTATTTACAACTACTGTATCTGAAAACATCCTCCAGGATAGCGTAACCATGGTGACGGATAAACCGTAACTAGGCGAATTATCTGGAGCTAAGTTGCCATGGTTACGAACTAGTTATGATCTGTGTACTATATCTACTTGTGAGGCTGGAGGAGCTACGTGGGCAGCCTGCTGTCGAGCAGAATGAAGCTGTTTCGGTTATTTGGATTTTGGAGCGTGGCTCGTTTGCTTCGAACTAGTCTGTAGTCTGGTTCTTTGAACTTGACGTAGTTGATTCGGTATAACCACCGCCACATTTCCGCCTCATCTGCCGCACTGGGGAAGTGGCGAGTTAGTCGAATTCAATTAAAACTAAAATTGGGTGAATGTGATTCAAGGTGAATCGAAAATGATAAGAAATAAAAGAAAAAATTAAAGTGAATTTTTAGCTCAACTCACCAGAAAACTTTGAAGATATCATCTTTGTGATCTCTGGTTGGACTGACGCATCGTAGAGTGAAGCAGTGGCTGCGGAAATTACTTGATTATTTCATGTCTGCCACGTTATTGTTTTTTAGGGGAAGTTTAATTATCATTGGAAACCGGACGTGCCTTAGATTAAATATTAACGTACCTTAGATTAAATGTTAACTTTAAATTTCCTAAAATTCTTAGAAAAAGTTTTGACGCAGGGGGTGGTAACCAGGTACGGGGGTAGTAACCGGATAATGAGGTGGTTACCATGGTTACCATGGTTTCACTTACTGAGTTGGAGGTGACAAGTTAGTCTCACAGCCGAGGTACCACGTGTAGTTCAGCAGATTCAGATTAGTCTTAACTTTTAGTTTAGAGTAAGTGAAGTTATCCTGGCTCAGCTTGCACTGAACTTCCCGCCATTTCTTCTTTGCTTCGTACATGTGGAGGGAACCTGGGGAAAGGGGGAGGTGAGGAGGAGAAGTTTAGTGAGATACGAGGATTTTTACTGCTAAATCGGTTTCTTGTTATTTTAGGAGATGGTTACCAGTTACTCGATGGATCAGTCGAGATTCAAGTATTTATTTCTCAGCCAGCTAGTTGTGATCCCTTGTAATTAAGGTACAAAATACCTTACGAGACATTTATTTATTTATGTTCGACATAATTCCGGTGACCGAAATGATTTGGGAAAAACTATGGGAATTTTTACCGAAAACCGCCACATTTCGTACCCCGAATTAAATCATGGTATTTGGGTTTTTTCATCTCCTTTTTTTACAAAAATGAAACCAAATATTTGAGAAAGCTGTTCCATCTTGTAAACAATTTCTCCGGAGCCTTTGAAAGTTAGCCTCAACTTAACTTATAATCCTCCAGAGGATATAGGAGACCGAGAGTGTTTGTTATCCCGAAATTTCACCGCAGTGGCCAATAAAGTAGTGACAGAGCTTGCTTATTCTTAATGGAATGTGTCCAAAATCATTTTTTAAGCAATTCATGATCGAAACTAGTATTCATTAATTGTTTGATGAATCATATTTACAACTTACTTAGATAGACCAAAAATATGGTGTTTTTTTTCGAAAAACCACTTTCGTACCATCTTACTATATATAAAGCGAGACGATATATATGGATGGATCCGTGCCATTTTACTGACACCACGGCATCAACTTTAACGCGACTTTCCGCAAAAACCGTAAAAGATATACAACTGAAACTTTTTTGACTGGGTCAAATGCCTTTATGGCCTTCAAATCAGCATAAAAAAATAAAATATTGGCCAAGGAATAAGAATTTTAGTACCCAAAATTTGGACCCCCAAGTGGTGTCAAAAACGCGAATTAAATAGATATTAATTATTTTAGTCTCTTGAGTCTTGACACCACTTTAGGGTTAGACGGGTTCCTGCTAGTTTAAATAATATGTCTCGTAAGTTAAGGCAAAACCATTCTTGATTAATTGAATTCCATTAAAAAAGCTGGTCAATTGAAGCCTACAATTTCATCGATTAAATATTAAATGTCCATATTAAATAGGTTTGAATTAAGTTATGTATCAAAGAGAATGATTGGGAGATTCAGTCATTGAAACCAACAAATAAATGTAAAGGTTGAGAATGACCTTTATTTCAAAATCAACTCTTCTGTTGGATATTCGTGATGAATATCCTGGAGATCACACGAATTTCAATTGCACGGAGTAAGCTACAAGCAGCAATAAAGTAAATTTTAGATTATTGTAGATAATAGCGCAAACAAAGTGATTTCGCCAAATTCCTGAGATACCTTCCGTAACTCCACGATAGACACAAGGTTCTAGATACTTCGGCAGCGAGGTTAGAGGGCAGTGAGACAACACTGATACGAGAAATTAGATAGTAGAATAAGAAATTAAATTAATTTAAGTAATTTAAGTAATTTAAGTAATTTGAGTAATTTAAGTAATTTAAGTAATTTTAGTAATTTAAGTAATTTAAGTAATTTAAGTAATTTAAGTAATTTAAGTAATTTAAGTAATTTAAGTAATTTAAGTAATTTAAGTAATTTAAGTAATTTAAGTAATTTAAGCAATTTAAGTAATTTAAGTAAATTAAATAGTTTAAGTTATTAAATAGTACGTAGAGAAATAAAATAGTAGCGTGAAAACTCGAAAGTATGATTTAAAAATGCAGTAGGTTCAGCTAGTACGAAAATAATCAGTAATTGATCAGCTCAATTAATTTATAAAACCACACAAACAATTACCTTGTTCAGTAGAATCATGAGGTGGAGGCTCGTATATCTTTAGTTTCTCCTTAATGTTATTATAGTCGATAGCAAGCCAGGACCTCTGTACTCGCTCCTCCCAAAGAGTTACTGTTGTGTTCAACAGGTACTCCGACAGATGCACTGGACGCTGTCAGATAAGTGGGGTTAATTGGTGCAATTATTGGAGTATTAGTGGATAATTAGATTTTAATTGGATAGGTAATTGGTTAAATAATTTGTAATTACATATCATTATTGGTTATTGATGTTCTGGTCAGCGGGGTTGCTATTTTACAGGTTTTATTTCACTTAGTTTTTTAGCTGTAACATACATCGTTTTGTTTTATTTTGTTAGTATAGTTTCTATGAGCACAGTTTAGGTTGGATTGGGGATAGTTGAATGTTAGAAATTTGTCTTTCAGCAGAGATGTTCTGTTAATAAAACAGGTACTTTTTCGCAAACAGTTATTTGAGCAAGTCCATTTGAACAATATCAATCGGACGAATGACAATAGCAGGCTTGTTACAAATACTTGGCAGCCCAATCAGAGCTGCCCTCTCAATAGCAGCTTCGCAATTATTCCATATAAAGATATAAGGAATAACTGAGATCACGTGACCATTGTTCGGATCACGATTTCACTAGGATCTGCTTCCAGTCAATCACCATACTCCATAGCCTAGTCATTCACACAATCCTCTGCTGATTCACTCAATAATTCTCATATTCACCAGTACAATTACCATATGGCATATCCCCACCACCAGTACAATTACCATATCCCCACCACCAGTACAATTACTATATCCCCACCACCAGTACAATTACTATATCCCCACCTCTAGTACAATTACCATATCCCCACCTTCAGTACAATTACCATATCCCCACCACCAGTACAATTACTATATCCCCACCACCAGTACAATTACTATATCCCCACCACCAGTACAATTACCATATTCCCACCACCAGTACAATTACCATATCCCCACCACCAGTACAATTACCATATCCCCACCACCAGTACAATTACTATATCCCCACCACCAGTACAATTACCATATCCCCACCACCAGTACAATTACCATATCCCCACCACCAGTACAATTACTATATCCCCACCACCAGTACAATTACCATATCCCCACCACCAGTACAATTACTATATCCCCACCACCAGTACAATTACCATATCCCCACCACCAGTACAATTACTATATCCCCACCTCCAGTACAATTACTATATCCCCACCAACAGTACAATTACTATATCCCCACCACCAGTACAATTACCATATCCCCACCTTCAGTACAATTACCATATCCCCACCACCAGTACAATTACTATATCCCCACCACCAGTACAATTACCATATCCCCACCACCAGTACAATTACCATATCCCCACCACCAGTTCAATTACCATATCCCCACCACCAGTACAATTACTATATCCCCACCACCAGTACAATTACCATATCCCCACCACCAGTACAATTACCATATCCCCACCACCAGTACAATTACCATATCTCCACCTCCAGTACAATTACCATATCCCCACCACCAGTACAATTACTATATCCCCACCTCCAGTACAATTACCATATCCCCACCACCAGTACAATTACCATATGGCATATCCCCACCACCAGTACAATTACCATATCCCCACCACCAGTACAATTACCATATCCCCACCACCAGTACAATTACCATATCCCCACCACCAGTACAATTACTATATCCCCACCTCCAGTACAATTACCATATCCCCACCACCAGTACAATTACCATATCCCCACCACCAGTACAATTACCATATCCCCACCACCAGTACAATTACCATATCCCAACCACCAGTACAATTACTATATCCCCACCACCAGTACAACTACCATATCCCCACCTGGTGGTCCTCCAGTACAATTACCATATCCCCACCACCAGTACAATTACTATATCCCCACCACCAGTACAATTACTATATCCCCACCACCAGTACAATTACTATATCCCCACCACCAGTACAATTACTATATCCCCACCACCAGTACAATTACCATATCCCAACCACCAGTACAATTACTATATCCCCACCACCAGTACAACTACCATATCCCCACCTGGTGGTCCTCCAGTACAATTACCATATCCCCACCACCAGTACAATTACTATATCCCCACCACCAGTACAATTACCATATCCCCACCACCAGTACAATTACTATATCCCCACCACCAGTACAATTACCATATCCCCACCACCAGTACAATTACTATATCCCCACCACCAGTACAATTACCATATCCCCACCACCAGTACAATTACTATATCCCCACCTCCAGTACAATTACTATATCCCCACCAACAGTACAATTACCATATCCCCACCACCAGTACAATTACCATATCCCCACCTCCAGTACAATTACCATATCCCCACCTTCAGTACAATTACCATGGTAATTGTGGGGATATGGTAGTTGTACTGGAGGTGGGGATATGGTATACCATATCCCACCTCCAGTACAACTACCATATCCCCACCACCAGTACAATTACCATATCCACACCACCAGTACAATTACCATATCCCAACCACCAGTACAATTACCATATCCCCACCACCAGTACAATTACCATATCCCCACCACCAGTACAATTACCATATCCCCACCACCAGTACAATTACCATATCCCCACCACCAGTACAATTACTATATCCCCACCACCAGTACAATTACCATATCCCCACCACCAGTACAATTACTATATCCCCACCACCAGTACAATTACTATATCCCCACATTCAGTACAATTACCATATCCCCACCACCAGTACAATTACCATATCCCCACCACCAGTACAATTACTATATCCCCACCACCAGTACAATTACTATATCCCCACCACCAGTACAACTACCATATCCCCATCACCAGTACAATTACCATATCCCCACCTCCAGTACAATTACCATATCCCCACCTTCAGTACAATTACCATATCCCCACCTCCAGTACAACTACCATATCTCCACCACCAGTACAATTACCATATCCCCACCACCAGTACAATTACCATATCCCCACCACCAGTACAATTACCATATCCCCACCACCAGTACAATTACTATATCCCCACCTCCAGTACAATTACCATATCCCCACCACCAGTACAATTACTATATCCCCACCACCAGTACAATTACTATATCCCCACCACTAGTACAATTACCATATCCCCACCTCCAGTACAATTACCATATCCCCACCTTCAGTACAATTACTATATCCCCACCACCAGTACAATTACTATATCTCCACCTCCAGTACAATTACCATATCCCCACCACCAGTACAATTACTATATCCCCACCACCAGTACAATTACTATATCCCCACCACTAGTACAATTACCATATCCCCACCTCCAGTACAATTACCATATCCCCACCTTCAGTACAATTACTATATCCCCACCACCAGTACAATTACTATATCTCCACCTCCAGTACAATTACCATATCCCCACCTTCAGTACAATTACCATATCCCCACCTCCAGTACAATTACCATATCCCCACCACCAGTACAATTACCATATCCCCACCACCAGTACAATTACCGTATCCCCACCTTCAGTACAATTACCATATTCCCACCTCCAGTACAACTACCATATCTCCACCACCAGTACAATTACCATATCCCCACCACCAGTACAATTACTATATCCCCACCACCAGTACAATTACCATATCCCCACCACCAGTACAATTACCATATCCCCACCACCAGTACTATTACTATATCCCCACCTCCAGTACAATTACCATATCCCCACCACCAGTACAATTACTATATCCCCACCACCAGTACAATAACTATATCCCCAGCACCAGTACAATTACCATATCCCCACCACCAGTACAATTACTATATCCCCACCACCAGTACAACTACCATATCCCCACCTGGTGGTCCTCCAGTACAATTACCATATCCCCACCACCAGTACAATTACTATATCCCCACCACCAGTACAACTACCATATCCCCATCACCAGTACAATTATCATATCCCCACCTCCAGTACAATTACCATATCCCCACCTTCAGTACAATTACCATATCCCCACCTCCAGTACAACTACCATATCCCCACCACCAGTACAATTACCATATCCACACCACCAGTACAATTACCATATCCCCACCACCAGTACAATTACCATATCCCCACCACCAGTACAATTACCATATCCCCACCACCAGTACAATTACCATATCCCCACCACCAGTACAATTACCATATCCCCACCACCAGTACAATTACTATATCCCCACCACCAGTACAATTACCATATCCCCACCACCAGTACAATTACTATATCCCCACCACCAGTACAATTACTATATCCCCACCACCAGTACAACTACCATATCCCCATCACCAGTACAATTACCATATCCCCACCTCCAGTACAATTACCATATCCCCACATTCAGTACAATTACCATATCCCCACCACCAGTACAATTACCATATCCCCACCACCAGTACAATTACTATATCCCCACCACCAGTACAATTACTATATCCCCACCACCAGTAGAACTACCATATCCCCACCACCAGTACAATTACCATATCCCCACCACCAGTACAATTACCATATCCCCACCACCAGTACAATTACCATATCCCCACCACCAGTACAATTACTATATCCCCACCTCCAGTACAATTACCATATCCCCACCACCAGTACAATTACTATATCCCCACCACCAGTACAATTACTATATCCCCACCACTAGTACAATTACCATATCCCCACCTCCAGTACAATTACCATATCCCCACCTTCAGTACAATTACTATATCCCCACCACCAGTACAATTACTATATCTCCACCTCCAGTACAATTACCATATCCCCACCTTCAGTACAATTACCATATCCCCACCTCCAGTACAACTACCATATCTCCACCTCCAGTACAATTACCATATCCCCACCACCAGTACAATTACTATATCCCCACCACCAGTACAATTACCATATCCCCACCACCAGTACAATTACTATATCCCCACCACCAGTACAATTACCATATCCCCACCACCAGTACAATTACCATATCCCCACCACCAGTACAATTATCATATCCCCACCTCCAGCAACAACAACCACGTCTTTACATCATGGACCAGTGACCAGTGACCAGTGACCAGTGACCAGTGACCAGTGACCAGTGACCAGTGACCAGTGACCAGTGACGCACTTCCATTTCAAACCATCTCACAATTTTATATTGTCCATTTCAAAGTAAAAGGTGTATAAAAGTAAGGAGATGTTAGGACGATAATTCCGCGGTGTTAAAGCTCTGGATATTTAGACTCGAGACATTCTTAATCTAATCGATAAATTATTCACAAAGTAAACAGTTGAACGAGCAGGAGGAATGACCCGCGTCCTTTTTGTCTAACTATTTGCTGTCTGAGATTTATTTTTAATTAATATTTTGGAATCCAAGGAGAAAAGAAAATCATTTATAATTAGCAGTCTAAATGTTTTTACGGAGGATGAAGCTTTTTAAAATTTCGACTAAGACAAATTATGGGCCCCTCCACTTTCTGCTGCCTTCAGTCTTTAGTAGTAAACGTCTGTATCCTTCTATTCTAAAGGAGATAGGTAATATATCAGTTCTCTTTAAGGTTAAGAGTATCGTATTGTAAATGCAATGAGAGAAATAATTTGTATAATTATGTTCTTAACATCGACATGAGAAGTAGGACTTGTTAGTGAAGTTCATGTCAGCATATCTTCTTGAGATCTTGTGAAGGAAGTTCCCCTCCTGGTTGAGATCGAGCCTCTCTCTTAAAGCCGCTCTAAAAGAAGATCATCCTCGAAATAGTACTTTACGACCCATCTCCTCAAGGGATCACTCGATTTTTAACTTGCCACTCATTTTAGGGCTTTAACTTTCCCCTTTGTTAATAATTATTCTCTCATCGTTTCTTTCGTAAAAATATAATGAGAGCCTAAAAAAGTTGATAGAAAGTTATTTGGGCGCTTCATCTCTAACCAAATTTGAATAACTCCATAATTTGTTAAGTGTCCACACGTTTTTGCCTGTCTAACTTGGTCGCCTCTTTGCATCGCTCAACATTCCTTTGAAACTCACTGACATTTGAAGTACTGGTAACTGAAAACTAAACACAATCTGAGCTATCCGAGCTGCTCAACGTCTCATAGCCGGGCACCCTCAAAGAAGCAACCCTGTTTCGAGAAAAGTTTGTAAATAACAACGTAATTGGCTATGGTAAATAATTGCGGAATAATTCCAAACTATCAATCAGGAAAAAAAACGGTCCTTCTGTCCCACTGATGGCGGATTATTACATAGAGACTATTCTGAGACTTGTATAACTATAATGCTAACACAGTGGAAAGTTACGGCTTACTCCAGTTCCTTAAAACACAAAGCCCTAGGTGAACTTTAGTATTTCGGTCAAGTAAAAAGCTATCTTCATTGAAAACATGACCGAGCTGCTCCTAATTGGAACCAGAATCTTCAAGAGCATTTCCTTGAAGGAGCTTTCCGGATCTTGCGATGGACTCGATGTGTTGGGTTAAGAGCTTTCCTCTGTTTCGATCGTACTCCGAGCTGTATTTCAGTGTTGCCGTGGTCTGAGTTCCTCTACCTGGGCCCCAGGTATTATATTTATGTTCATAAATAATCATAGTATAGATAATAATCCATAGTATAAGATATTAGGCGAATGAAACAGCTGAGCGCCGCCCCTAGGGTTTTTTAAAGTTCCTCCTGAGTTAAATGGTTGTTCATGATTTTTGCTAGTTGTTGATGCTATTCGTGTCCAGTACATGGTGGAAAGTAGCTGTTTACCCTTTCAACGTCTATAGCCTATTCGAACTTTTATTCACAAGGGATGGTATAAGTTTGGTCACAAAATGTATTTTTACCAGTATCAATCACTAGATAAAAAACGTGAATGATTTATTTCATAAAAATTCCAACAGCACAGACGATTGAATCTTCTTGAGGATGATATCATTTATTAATCTGTGACTATAAATATAACTTTGTATTGGATATATTGTAATGTTTTAGAATACTTCGCTTCTCGTAAACATGACCTCGACTGAGCTGTGTTATCTTGATGCTGTAATTCTTCAAAAATATTTGTAATCCGATATGCACCTCATGGTTCATGGAATTGGAAAGTCTAATCTTGTCTTTTAAAAATCGCACCTACGCCACTCCACTTCTTGTGTCTCTTTGTAAGCGAAGCAGCAAATGTCAGTGACAGGGAAAATTGCAAATATCTCCATTAGCAACACCCTGTCTTCCATAACAACACCCCTGATTGCAATCTGCCGTCTGGCAGTTACAGACGTGGGCATGTTTGCGTGGTACAAGTTTTCCCAAAAGAAGGGTACCAAGGACACTATTGGAACAAAGATTCTCCAAACCGAATCCCCGTGATTGGAGCGAGGAGCAGCTTAAAAGCGGGAGACACTATTAATAGCCACAGCAGATGAGTTGTTAACAAAGAGCGACGACCCAGGCTGGATGAACATAGGAAAAATAGAAACATTAGTGAGTAGAAACGTTAAGGACGCATCACCCCCCCTCTACCTCCCCGGGTTTGCGGGGAGGCTACGTCCGCCTTGTGGCTAACGTCTCTTGGAGCTCCTTTGGTTGCGGAGGTGTACCGATAGCTCGGCTGGGATGGGGACTCGCTGAGCCGGCACGAACCAAATGGACATAACATTGCTGTTATGACCCGGTGGAACGGCGATACCCCTAAGAGTATCTGCCATATGTTCCGTCATCGGGGGACTTTCTGAGTCCATAGAAAGTCAACTGTCGAAACAGCCTCCCGGAAAATTGGGTTTGATAATGCGAGAAACTGCCACTTCCACTGTTATCTGGCTAACAGCTCCGCTAGGTGTTTCTCGATATTTACTGTGCTTGATGTTTGTTGTTTTGCCGTGATTTGTTTGGTCGCGCGCGCACCAGTTTGGTGATAAATTTGTGGCTTTCTTTACTATGTATGTCTTTTTCCGCGCGTTCCGTGTTTTCAGTAGACCCCTTTTGCCGTTCTCTCTGTTTATGTGACGAGCTATTGTACTGTTTTGGCATATTTGTGGGTTTTAGGTACCATTTGTCCATGGTTGGGTCGTTTTAATATTCTACTGTCCGTAGCGGAAAGGAGCTTGCCGGGCTCCTGTGTGAGTGAGGTGGAGTGGAGAGAGGCCAGGTATGTGCTGGTATTTGATCTGATCCAGCCAGACGACGTTTAGCCTGCCGGACAATGAGGGGCAGTTACCATCCCCTACTAACGTGGAGGTCACTCTGAGGTTGCTAGTGGGTCCAGAAACAACAGGGGGGATGGAGTGAGTGATCCCTGCAGTTTGCTGGCTACCCACCCCAGAGCGGGCGGGGTTGTGAAAGCCGTGCTCAGACTAGGCACCCCACCCGTCGTCTCTTCTTGCAGTAGCAAGGCGTGTTAGTTGATGAGGACTAACACAAGGGACATCGGTAACCGCCGTGCTAACGAGTACTTTGAGAAGACGTTGGATCCTACCGTCTACGATCGCCCTGCACCAGATTCTGACATGTTAGTTATACTTACTTTGATATTAGTATTGAGTTTTTAAAAGTGATTCACCAGAGAATTTATCGCTGTGATTGATTTATAAGTTTATAGTCAAGAGGATATTCAATAGTTCATTCAAATCTCCATACGGATGTCAAATCCATTTTTTCCCAAGTTCACCACAGTCCACAAGTACCAATGACAATGTTTATATTCCAGCACATTGATTTTGTAGACGTCACTTGTTGAGTAGAACAGTTGTTCAAATACAATATTCTTGTCGTCCTTTAATTTTAGGGAAGTATAACTTATTAGAGTTCTCCTAATTTTCAGAAAGACAGGGTAGTTTTGAATGTCTGCTCTGAGAGTTAAAGTCTCTAGTAAACTGACATTTCAATCATTCTTAGGGTTGCTCTGAAGCGACCATACATCTTACTATATATAAAGCGAGACGATAAATATATATATATATATTTATCTGTGCCATTTTACTGACACCACGGCATCAACTTTAACGCGAATTTCTGCAAAAACCGTCAAAGATATACAACTGAATCTTTTTTGACTGGGTCAAATGCTTTAATAGCCTCCAAATCAGCATGAAAAAATAAAAAATTGGCCAAGAAATAGGAGTTTAAGAGCCCAAAATTTGGTATCCCAAGTGGTGTCAAAAACGCGAATTTAATAGGTAATAATTGTTTTAGTCTCTTGAGTCTTGACACCATTTTAGGGTTAGACGGGTTCCTGCTAGTTAGTTGAATCCCTAAATTGTTACTTGTAAATTTTGTCTAACTTAAAACATTCTCAAATAAGTGGAATAACACCTTGAGAGACTGATAAGTCTGTAACAGATGCTTGCAGTTCACATAGAGTTAACAGTGCCTAAAATAACTCTCTCAGCTTCCTGTTAGAGAGAAAACCTTCCAAAAAAAGAGTTCTTAGAACTGCGCTGTAAACTTTATTTCGCATATTTTACTAAGTATTTGGACATACACACCAATCGATGACAGAAACGTAATCCAGTACCATCTAAATAAATTTCTCATAGGTTTCTGCCAGGTTACTGTCAAGTTCTGATAGGGTTTCTGGTTCGCTACGTTTCGGTATGTTCCTGGTATGTTCCTGGTATGTTCCTGGTATGTTCCACTCGCATTTTGTAGTGCATATAAACTTGCCTATGGTTGAGGATACTTCGCAAAATATTATACAAGAGTTTATTCTAATATTTGTTACTGGTAGTGGTAACGCAAAGAACAATACAATAGTCACTTATATGGTCTGTTTAGTTTTACATCAAGATCGCATAGATTACTTTTATATTGACATTCTAGCGCTGATTGTGACGGATTATCTGTCGCAGTTGCTCAATGGCTGCAGTTTCTCCGTAGTCTAGCCTATTATGATTTCTCAATAATATACGACACAAACCATGCTATCAACCAAGTTTATATCTATGTCACAACTCTTTTCTCCAGAAAAGCAAGGGATCGTGACATATTATCTGGTGCAGTTTCACGATAATTGATGTAGCACAACTCCTATTATAATCCTAATAGTACCAGTCTAAAACTAAGTCATACATATCACAGCTCCTCATCTAAAGTAACTTGTTTCAGGAAAGTTAGGGAAGCGTTTATAGAGGAGAAGTTCACGAGAAGCTGCTGGAGTGACGTCATAACGTCCCCTGTAGAGGAACTCAATCTGGAGCTCATGGAGGTAAAGTTAGAAAATTGTTGTTATTGTAAAGCGAAAATTGTTCATTAGCAACAAGCTTAATTGTTTTTTAGGAAGTATAAAATAATCTAGTGGTTAATTCCCACATCCAGAAAGGCGGCAGACCGGCAGATAATCTGCGAGAAAATTTTTGATTTTAGAGAATATTTTGATAAAGTTATAGGATCTAACCTTTTTCAACACGGAATTTCTTTGGTAGGTTTCATCTGTACACAAAACACATTATTGAACATATGAAAATAACAGAGAAAATTTCTATCACAAGTAAGAGCTATTTCCACAGAAATCAAGCCAAACTCTTTATCTTGAAGTGAAGTATAAGTAAAACTCTTTGTTCATTTAGACTTAATCACACTGAGGTTAAAACATTCTGAAACATTATAAACATTAGTATTAAAATAACTGAAATAAATAAACAAGAAATATAACAATCTCCCCGAATAAATAAACACAACTACAAAATCAAAAAGTGATCCCGTGCGCGTGCGCGCGCAAAATTTAAAACAGAAGAAGTGCTTACAAAAACTTTGACCTAAGATGGCGTCCTAGAGTAGACCCTTTCAAAGTGCCAATTTAAAATGTGCACGGCACAAAATATAAATTACCTTCCTAACACAGGTTCTAAGAATAATGCCGATTTCCCTACTCGGGTAAAAATTCAATTAAACCTCCGACAGGCTAAATATAATAAATACGTCAGTCACGCTCTATTGAACGGAATACAAAACAATCAGAATTCAATTCTAATAAAGAGAAAAACATCTACTTCGGAAATACCCAATCCAGGTGAATATGAAAGATGAATGTGAAACATAAGTATGAAACGTAAATATGAAAACCGTGAATATGAAATGTTTACTGATAGCCAGAGTTACTAGACGTGCTATCAGGTGATGGATACAACACTGTGGGAGTTCTGTCTCTACCAGATCTACGTAGTCTTATAGGATTGTCAATAGTTTTTGTACAGCCTCATTATTACTTTCTGAAGGCACAATACTGTCATGAACATCGGAAGTCACAATATTGTCATAAGCATTAGGCCGGGAATCATCACCAATAGGAGCTAACCTCAGTGTGATTAAACTTCATTTAATCACACTGAGGTTAAAAAATTCTCAAATTATTTGTTATATTAATATAGTAGTGTTGAAAGTATTAAAACTCCTAAGGCATTTATAGCTGGCCTACAGTCTCCTGGTATACGTCAACGGGTATTGGAAAGCGAGAAGACTGCATTGTCAGACATCTATTCCTTAGCTAGAGGGCTAGAGGCAGCAAAGGTTCAGGCCCAATCTTATGTCAACCAAGGTTCATCTCTCAACGCAATTGTTAATAACAATGAATCAGTGTCAGATTCAGAAGGGTGTGCTAACCATGATGACAACTTCGTAGCAGCTGCCCCATTTCAATTCTCCTGTTATTTCTGCGGTGGGCCCAAACCGCACACAAACAGACAGGCCTGTCCTGCTTTTAACTCTAACTGCAACGGTTGTGGAATTCAGGGACATTTCCAAAAAGTCTGCAAAGCCGGTCGCCAATCTCAAGTTCGGGGCGGCAGTGCCCGCGGCAAGAATCGACGTTACAATCAATATCGTAGCTCTCAGAATATGACATCATCAGCAGTCTCTCACAGTAGCTCTCAATCCCAAAACGGGACATCATCGGCTCTCCACAACCATTATCTTGCAGCTTCGCCTCCATGCTTGTCCAAGAGTATTACCAGAGTCCTTGTCAATGGGAGAGAGCTTGATGCCTTGGTAGATTCTGGAAGTTCATCAACTTTTCTCAGTAATGCCAGTGTCCGGAAGCATCAATGGGACATTAATCGCGGAGACCATGCACCTGTCAGTATGGCCTCTTCATCCCACATCTCTCATCCTGTCGGTCACTGTACTGTAGATGTTCATTTCAATGGTGAATTATTACCAAATCAAACGATTGTGGTAATGAAGGACTTATGTGCTGATATGATCATAGGACTAGATATCCTTTCTGATTACAAATCCGTGACATTGGAGTTTGGAGGCCACAAACCTCCTACTATTGTATCTGCAGCTGCTTGTCTCATCAAAACACCTAAGTGTCATGAAAACGGTGCTTATCTTCTGTGAATATCACCTCTACTAAAACACAGTAGATGGGTACAATGCTGCCAACAAACAAGCATGGAAAGCTGTTTTTAAGAACTCAGCACGGGATAACGAAGTTCCTATGGAGCTACTGAAGAAACCAGTAACAGCTCCTTGTACTTCTTTTGAAGACCCAGCCATCAAGTCTGCAAAAGACAACATTGTCAATTTTGTAGACAACTTCAAGCCCAGAAAACTTGAATCTAATATGAACCGCTATGAGAGTGAAGGGTATATGTGGTTGAAGAAGGCTGTCAAGGATGGCTTAATAGCCATAACATCGGCTGATAAGGGCGGTGCGATAATCATTGTCACCCCTCAGATAATCAAGGATATCACTTCTGCCAAAGTTGAGGACCCTTTGAGATACAGACCTTTGCAAACTGATCCTACTGGATCTTTGAGAGGGAGGTTGTTAGAGCTGTGGTCATCTGGTTTGGAGCGGAAGTATGTAAGTGGTGAACAGTCTAAGTGTGTGGTTGGTTTGATTCAGAAGTCTGATCGGGACACTCTTTCACAGAGCACTTCAGATCTAGTCAAGCCCGATATTCCGTATGGTTACCCATTACTGAAAATTCACAAGCTGACTGAGACTGAAATTAGAGAGAAAAAGATTCCACCCAGTCGATTCGTGACTGATCTCTCTAGAGGAGTAACTGCAAGATCAGATAAGTTTGTTGTTTGGAAGTGGTTGGGACCTCTTGCCAGGGATTACTGTATAGATCTTGTTAAAGATTCAACTGCAGCTCTCATAAAACTCGAGGAATTGGCAGCTTCCGGACAAGTAGTCGATACTTGGATCAGCTTCAGTATTGATATTGTTTCTCTATACGATTCTCTGCAACATAGCTTGGTGATGTCAGCCTTAGATGATGCTATGGAGTCGTGTAGACCAGATTGGTCTGAGGAGTTCAGGACTTGGCTGAAGGGACTGATACAGCTTAGTTTTGATTCGGCAGTCTTGAAGAATGCAGACAACTGGTATGAGGTCGTTAACGGTGTACCCACTGGAGGTATCAATTCAGTGGATTGCGGTAACATTGCTTTGTTCTTTGTCCTAAAGAGTCTGGTTTACGACCCGGTTGTTAGACCAGAGGAGCTCAAGAACCTTGATCGGTTTGTGGATGATATTTCGGGCCAAGGTATGTGGAGAGGTTCTATGATTGGTTTTGAAGAATGGGTAGGGTCATTACGCAGTAAGATGGTTGATAACTATGGCTTAGATATTACATACGAAGTGAAACCAATCACGGAGTTCACTCAGTTCCTGGACATTCAGTACAAGTTTGTTGGAGGGAGACTCACAACAGATCTGTTTAGGAAACCTACTGACGCCAACAGGTATCTTGAATTCTCAAGTTTCCATCCACGACATACCTTCCGGAGTATAGTCTTCTCACAGGCACTTCGATACAGAAGGATAATCAATGATGACGTCTTGCTGGATGAGAGATTGGCAGAGCTTCAGTTGTTTTTTGAACGGTCTTCATATCCTACTGATATGGTGAGAGAGGTCATCAGTGATGTCAGATCGATACCAAGAACTTTACAGTACAAGGCAAAGGATCAGGGTCCCCCTTCTTTCACACCATGGATTGTTACATTCGGTGCGGGCTATGAGGAAACCAAGGAAAAGGCTAAAGAGGCCAGTAACATCATCTCAAATAGCCGTACATGGAGCAGTGAGAACCCTGAGAGGATCCCTAAACTCCAAGTGGTGACCAGGCGAGCCCCTAACTTAAAGGACACTTTATTCAAGAGAAAGAAGCTTGCCTTAGGTTCAGAGTCAAGAACAACTGACCCATGCACCAAACCTGGTGAGAAGAAGAAAGGCAGACCCTGCCAAACTTGTCACCTTGTTAGTGGCAATTCCATGGTCTCCAATAATGGACACTCAGTCAGAACTCAAGGTGGTAACTGTAAGACACGCAACATTGTGTACGGCGCGACATGCAAACTTTGTACTGTTAATAACGTATACGTGGGAAAAACAGTCACCAGCCTCAGCCAACGTGTGAATGGTCATCGCAGTAAATATTATGAGATTTTAGAGGCGAGTAGTAAGGGGAATGTTGAGAGCCACAGAGATTTTGATGACGAGAATGTTTTAGGAGCACATCTTTTTTCAGTTCATAATTTGAGGGAGAGATCTGTTTTCAATGAAAGTTTCCATTTTGATATTTTGTGTTCTACATCCCCAGATAATATTAGAAAGTCAGAACAGTTCTATATTAACAAATTGAAGACACTTTATCCGTTTGGCCTGAACAATGTGAATTCCGTTTCTGGAAGCTAATTTTTCATGGTGTCCCGAATTTTATTTTTAAATCGTCCATTTTTTGTTTATATATGCAGTCTATCAATTTTTGAATTGCGTCTTTTTGATCTAATGAACTACTGCAGACTCCACATTATTATAGTATATGCGATTAATTTTGTTCCGATTTTAAACTATTCCATTTTTACGAGATGCTAAATTAATTTTTTGAGACTTTACTACATTTTTGATGAGAATTTTTGACATTTTCAAACTAACCATTGATATTCTCAGATTATGTGACTGATTAAATGCTGAAGATAAAAGAAATATATTCATTTTGCTAAGATTATGTTTGCGTTTCATTGCTCAACAGCTGTTCGAAGGATCAAATATAAGATACTAAAACACAAGGATTTATTTTATCAATATTCTATCCTCAGGGGAGTATCCTAGACGACTTGTTGGGCGGTGAGATGAACAGTCCTGATAAAGCTGGTCTCCTTAAGAAACAAGGCAACAGCCGACTCAGGGACTGGAAGTCCAGATACTGCGCCGTTAAGGGTGAGATCAGCTCTATTTTTACATCCCCATGTTGCTTGTCTGGATCTGGGTACCCCGACCTCTTGCTCTGCTTCCTGTTATAGTTTTTATTTATTTTCAGCCAATTATTGTAAGTTTAACATGAGCAAGCTGGGTGGTCGGCGGTCACCCTTTCAACTGCTAGACTTAGCTTAGACATTTGCGCATTTTTGTGAAATTAACAGCGGAGAATTAGAGTTCTTTATAGAGTTTCGGGTGTTGATTGTGTTGCCATTATCCCGTAAATTATTGGGCGAGTGAAAACTTCCTGACAACATCGATGTAGCTATAGTTTAACGGTTGTTAAATTGCATGAATTGCCGAATGTTATGCTAATATATACGAGGAATTGAGGACTATATTTGTGATGTCACGTACTTAGCAGCGTTCCCCCACCTTTTTTATAATTCCCTGTCTCGTGCTGTAATAAAGCAGGAAATACAGTAAATTAGCTATCCCATAATTAAGACCACTGATTTTAAAGTGTGTCCTAATTGATTGAAATATTATTTTCTAAAAGACCTGATAAGTGCTAAGCTCAAAAACACTGGGCAGTAAGAGTACAATCTAATAATCTAGATTAATAAATCTAAATAAGATAAGATCTATATACTTATATATTGATAAATCTAGATCAATCTAGTATTCCATTTTATCAGAAAATTAATGGTGATAAAAACCTTAACTTAACTTATTATTACAGACGGCACGTTCTGCTACTACGAGAGCTACGAAGCGTACTGTATAGCCACTCCCATAAACTCTATCTACTGTGGGACCCTCAAAGCTCAGATCTCGGACAGGGCCAGGTTCAAGTTCGAAGTCATCGTGCCTAACAGAACATATTAGTAAGTTACAAGATTGTTAGTTTATTGGAGAGATAGAGAGAGATATTGGGGATTATTTGACATATTTTGTCCTAGAAATGTTGCATATTCGACATACCTAAAATGTCAGCATACAATGAAATAGCCCAGAAAATGCAGCTAGTTGCGCATAATTACGGCCGATACTCAAGACGTATCGATCTAAATCATCACATATGATTCTGAATCTAGTAAGTGCAGGTGTTCTCTGTCTAGCAGCCCTCCTTTAAATACACCCCCTGTCATCAGATCCACTAGAATAATAATATATACTAATAAAACACTGCTACCTC